TCAGGATTGCTTTACAGGGGACAATTCACATTTTCCTCTCTAAACAAATTGAAAAGGATGATTTTATGATTATACCAACAACATAAAACAGCAACGAACACTGCAGACTTCTTCCAGCCAACATGTGCATAGCCGTTATGATCGTTTTAGATTGTCCTCCTGGTAGATGGGGACTGACCTGCAACAAAACTTGCAAAAACCCTTATGATGATTTCGTAAAAAGAAGCGTCAGTTATGGAAACTTGTAATTTTCCAGAAAAAAAAGTGTAGGGTAGGGAATTTGGCTGGGAAAAGAAATAGGGTGGGTCGGGTAACCGGAAACACACATATTTTTTATAGGCCTGAGATAATTATTTGGTATTTAAAAGAGAAACAGAATTTTCCAGAATTTTGGTTATTGATGAGTTTTGTCTGTAATGATACAAAAAATGCTTTAGAATGAAACAGATAAAATTCTCATGAATGAAAAGTAAATAAAATACATGGAAAACAGATTGTCTTAATTGTGTTAGTTGGATATGCTTGGTATGCTTATTATGCGTAGGTGTCATACAGTTTAGGCTTTTTCTATGATATGGTAATATTCCATATCTTTACATACATGACATAAGGATTTGCTTTATGTTCTGTTGGAGTAATTTAAAAGAGTATTTCTTAGAAATGCAATAATACATGCACTGTGTAATGTTTATTGTATTGCTTTATTACAAACAGCAGAATTAAATATAAAAAAGAGCACTGTTATAGCAATAAAAGCATTGTTCATTTTCATTATCAGGTACCTCCTCCTGAAAATCTACCATGATATGAAGTCCCTGCTACAAGAGTGGCCTCTGGTCCATGTGGAGCAGTACTTGCTTTGTTCTCACTGTATACTAAGGGGAGATAATGACCCATACCTCTACCCAGCAGAACTTTATCTGGAGACTGTCTGCCCCAAGAAATTGTACCAACTACAGTCCTGTCAGAAGTGCACAGAGGTTTTTATACCAGCATGTTTGGTTATCCCTCTTGATGCAGGTTTGCATTTGATATATTCTATAATTTAAACTACAAACAATTTTTTCTATCTCCCACACAAAAGAGTTACATGTTGTTTTTTTTTTTTTTTAATATTTCTTTCATTTAAAATCTACTTAAGAAATTTTTATTGTGAAAAACATTTTTTTTAAAAATATTCCCAGAAACTTAACAGTAACAAAACTTCTAGAAAACTTTTCAAAAAATTATATTGAACTGTAAAGTTATATTTTCCCACTTCTCGCCAAGTTATGTGGCTTGATCAAGCATGAAGTTGTTTAACTTAACAGATATCACTTTTTTAGTGAAAGATCAAGGCACCTATTTAGCAAAGATATTTGAATTTTGGAAGAAAATGATCTGTTTGTGTTATTTATCCTTAAAGCATATTAAAAGCCATTAGGGTTGAGCTTGGTTAAATGAGATTATAGGATAGCTTTAAAAAAATTATAGTTAAGCAACATAAAAATTTTGAGGAGACAAGGGAAACAGAAAACAGACCTTTTGTCTGCTTGTCATTTGGGAATTTTTACTCAAGTTTTTGGGAAAAAAGTTCAGTTTTCAATTGGGAGAGGTCTTTTACTGAACATAGATGCAATGGATATTAAGCTCTTGTATATATGGTATTCCAACATATCTTATAGTTTCTGTTCATATTTAATTGGCACAGTTAGAGTGATATTTCCAAAAGGGTGGTCATACCATAACTCTAAGCCAAGGATATATAAATAAAATTATTGGATTCAATAAAGTTTTTTTTTCAGGTTTAGAAATGTTTTGAAGAGATAGCACAAGCTAAACTTAGAGGTTGCCAATAATTAGATAATCTTATTAAATTGGATGTTTTGATCCTAATCCACATTAATTTGGACAAGGCCAAGGTCACAGGTTTTGGAAATATTTCTTCCCTTTGCCATATAACTTAGAAATATAGAGAAACCTTAAATATTTATATAGCTGAACTTCGATATCTCGAACAGGGGTATTTCGAATACCAAGGATATGTCGAAGTGATTTGAAAGTCCCAAGCTCTTTTTCTTAAAGTATTTAAGCCTCAATATCTCAAATTGTCGGATATCTCAGGATTTTTCTCGGTCCCATGGAGTTCAAGATAACAAGGTTCGACTGTATTTAATAGACACAAAGGTTGAGTTTTTGCTGAAGATGCATAACAAAGCTACGCTGTGGTCATTTTACAAGGTTAAGGTCACTTGGTATAAAGTGTAAAATTCTTTAACATAACATAATTTTGCAATGAAGTAACTTAAGAAGACAATTCGTGCTTGCAGAATTGATTATAGTAGGATATTGCATGGTCTTGAACAAAGCTAATGTCACAGAGTTATAAAGTGTCAAATACTGAAGATTTCAAAAATGCTATTGTTTTTGAGGAGATCAATAGCTCATACTTTTCACAAAAGTTGCTCAAGACCATGGACATTTGTAGATGGTCAAGGTCATCTGAATTAGAAGTTTCTTTGGAACTTGACATTTTTAATTACAGGACTGTTGATGTTAATATTTTTCATAATTAACAAAGAAGTTGCTCAAGACCAGAGGTGTTGCAACTTTTAACCAATGGAAGTTCAAGATTTAAGATATGGGAATTCAATATAACTTACTTTAAGAGGATAGCAGAATTCTTTTTGAATACTTTAAAGTTTGCTTCTTTAGTTGCCCCACAATGGTATTAAAACAGTAACATGTATATATTTGTATGAAAACAGTTCTATTAATATTTATAAAATTCAGGATGTGTAGAAATGGACCAAAGTCAAGGTATTAAATTATTCGCAATCACACAAGTTATTTAACAAGGATGGGTTGCAATAATATTTCTCTGTTTCATCATGGTTGCTGATTTTCACAGTTTCAAAGAATACTTTTTATCAAATGCCATACACTACACTAGACGGGCATAGGCACTTGGGGCATGGACAATGTAAATAAAGGCTATAGATGAAATTTGAAAAATAATCATGGAATGTTTTTCATTGCATGGTGTTGATTTTTATCTCTACTGGTCAAAGACCAGAAGAGCTTTTAATGTGATAGTAAGATGTCCATTATCCATCTGTCTGTCTAGCTGTCTGTCCGTCTTTTAACAATTTTTTCAAAATGCTACTCCTCCTACAGTTTTGTCTGATTTCAGTATAACTTGGTACACAAGTACACTACACTAAAATACATATTGCTCTCTATTGGTTTTTGATATCCTTGAACAGTGTTGCTAAGGTTGCCAAAAACAAAAATTTCTGTAAAATATTTCAAAATGCTACTCCTCCTACAGTTAAGGTCTGATTTCAATATACAACAATATACAATGTAACTTGGCACACAAGTAGACTACACTAAGATACATAATGCTGTGTATCAGTTTTTGATTTGGATGAACAGTCTTGCCATGGTTACTAAAAATAGATATTTCTGTGAAATACTTTCAAAACGCTTCTCCTCCTGCAGTTTTGATCTGATTTCAGTATAACTTGGCACACAAGTAGACTACACTAAGATACATAATTCTGTATACTGGATTTTGATTTCAAGGCTAAACCAAAGATCATTATTCTTATTTATTGCTTTTGCATAGTTTCAAGTCCTAGTGCTTCTTTTCTTTTCCTTTGTTAAAAGTACAAACAGCAGAGCTACAGTCTTGTCAGATACTTCTGGTTCCAACAATATTTTTTTTAATCTGATGTTAAAAACTTACTTGAAAGTCTATTTCTATCATTGCTAGAGCAAATTTTGAAGTAAAAAGTTGCAGGGAAAAAAGATATTTGGGAATTTTGGATCAGATGGTCATAAATAATGTTATTGGATTTATTTGAACTGGATGCATAACATTTTGACAATTAAGCAGGGAATTAGTCAGTTTTTCATGGATATGTTTACCTAGGGGCACAGAAGGGGACTAGGTCATTACCAGCTTTGTTCTTGTTTATTACATATTGTATAGAGTGGGTTGAGGTCAACTTCTTAACATGGCAAAATTTTACTTTTTGTTGCATAGTAATTATAAAGCAAAATAGATTAAAAAAAACTAAAATTCAACACCATGCAATGAAGAAAAAAGTCTTGATCATACAGTTGAACTTTATCTTGAACACTGATATCACACAAATACGAGAGATACGTCAAATGGGATGGCAGTCCCAACCACATTTCTTTTTTTTTTACCCTCATTAATGAGAATCCTTGGATATCTTGAAGTTAAATCTTGGTTCCTTTGAGCTTGAGATAACAAGGTTTGACTGCACTTTGATTTTCTTTTATAGTTTTATTATACAATTCATGTACATGCCTCAATCACCTATGTGGATGAAAAACATTTGAAAGTCACCACTGAGAATCAGAAAGTAAAGAAAGCAGTTGACATGTTTATTATATTTATTACACGTACCATACACACAGGATAATAAGCTTAAATATTAACCAGTGAAAAAAAGACCTAATTTTTTTTTTATAGAACTTAAAATCATTTGCCATTTTGCTCAGCTAAATATGACTTTTGCCACTTCTTTTTCCTCCTTTCAACATTTTTAGGATCTCTTGCAATTCTTTTATTGTTTATTTTCCGTGCAAGGTCTGCAACATAGGACTCAGAAGTTTGTTTATTTGAGACGGCAGTGTTTTTATATACTTTTTCTTTTAAACTTTTCCAGTAGTTTTCCATACTATTTTGCTTATTGACTTGCTTGTCTTCAGATTTTTGTTGATTTTGTTGTCTTTTGAAAGAATTTCTCCACTTCTTTGCAAAGGAATTATTGAATTTTCTCCTATTTTTCCTTTTAACTGTGGTTCTTTCTGGTGTTTTCTCATTAGTCTTTGGTGTACCTGACTCCTCTGTGATTGGAGCCCTTGTGGTAGGGGCTGCTTTTGTCTTGTCTTTAACTTTGAGATGTTTTGGGTTAAGTTTTGTTGACATTTGTTGCCAGAGTGCACTCGTCCTGTTTGGAATTTGCTGGTTACTGCTTGTTCTAATTGTGTCCTTTTTGCTGTGTGGATTTTGAAACATTGCTGCATTATCCCATTTGTTTCTGTTTCCATTGTTTAGTATGGACACTAAATTTCTTGTATTTCTATTTTCAGTATTTCCTTTTGCTGACACTGAAGTTGGAACCTGTGTTGCTCTGGCTCTCCACTTCTTTCTTGCCTCTAGTCCCCCAAATTTGTTTCGTTGAAGACTGGGGAAATAGTTTTCCAAATCTAGTATTTGAAATCTTTTCTGTGGATCAATTTTCTTCTCTTCTTCAATTTCCTTTTTGTCTTGCAAAACTTTTTTAAATTGATTTTTCCTTTTTTCAATCCACTTCAGTACTTTATTAATGTTGGGAGTTTTGAGGTCTTTTCCATATTTACTTTGTCGATTCTTTTTGTTTTTTAAGTACACTGATCTGTATTTTTCCAAAACTGAGTAGATTCCCTTCTTTGTCCCAAATTTCCTTCGCTGTGTTTTGTTTGGTTTTGTTGTTGAAGTCTTGTTAGAAGATGGCATTTCTTTGCTGAGATACTTATTCTCATAAATATGGCCATTTTCTAGATTTTTATTGACATTTGGTGTTTCCGGAGTGATAACTTGTTCCGCAATATTTGTAGAAATCTCCAGTGGTGTTTGAGTTGCTGTAAAGGTTTTTCCAGTTGAAAGTTTTGTTGTCCTGTCCAAAGTGTCTTCTGATTTTGTTGTGCCTATGACTTCTGTTGTAATTGTCATTGTTGTTGTTATGGATTCTGAGGTAGTTTTCATTGGTACAGTTTCTATGGTTGTTGTAGCTTCTGTGGTACCTCTGCTTGTGATTGTTGGTGTTGTAGGTTGTATTGTTTTGGTTGGTGCAGCATTGGTCGTAGTTACTACTTCCATTGTTTCAGCTGTTGTTGTTTTGCTTGATGTTACAGCTTCTGTTGTTGTTGTAGCTTTTGTTATTGTGTCCTGAGTTGGAGCCCTGGTTATTTGCTGTGAATTAGTTCCTGAGGTAAGAGGCTGAACATCCACTGTACCATGCTCAAGAGCATGGTCCTCGGCAATGATCAGTTCTCCAGTGGAGTCAAAAACATGAGCCCCAAATATTGGACTCTGTATAACTTCCAGATGTTCACCAGTATGGGGATCTACTATATGTGTAATCTGATTTGTGTCTGGGTCTCGAATAACTCCATTAACAATGTTGTTCTGTGGATTACCTTCATTTTGACTGGTTTGTTCAGGATGGTTGTGTCCAGAATGATCAGTATTGTGATTTTCTGAGGTAGAATCAACAGATGTTATGGTCATTGTGGTAGTCTGTGCAGCAGGTGGAAATGTTGTTTGTGTCAAATTTGGAAGTTCTGAGAGGAGGATCAGTTCTCCAGTGTGTGGGTCAATTATATGCCCACCAGTTATTTCACTCTGGATAACTTCTAAAAGTTCCCCATCATGGATATCAAGAACATGAGTAATAGCACCAGATGTTGGATCACGCACCATACCGTTCTCTACAACTAGTCCATGGTCTAGATCTTTGTTCTCAGATTTTCCACTTAAGTGTTCCATTTGCTCTGTTCCATGTTCTGTTTGACTTGTTTTGTTTTGGAACTGTTCTGTACCTGAGTCCAGTGTAATTGTTGGATTTGAGGTTTCAGGTGGTGGATTATTTGTAGTTGGTGGTAAAGTTGTTGTCTCATTACCAACATCCAAGGCATTAAATAACATGTCAGGGTTACTCAGAAAAAAGTCAATAAAATCAGCTTCAGCATTTCCTAGGTCTTCTGATGCAATTTCAAATGGTAATTGACCTGTGAATTTCAGAATATTGAAGTTTAAAACAAATGTTTTATGCTTCAAAGTGGAAAAATGGACTTCATATTAAGTTTGGGTTTGATAAAAGATTTTGATACGTTTTTTTCTTCAAGAAAAAAATGTGAATTGTAAACTTACTGTGACATGTTGTAATGATTGAAATATAGACACATGTACCAAGAATCCAATATCTTTTCATTTTAACTCCTAAAGAAAAGATTTGAGACATGGAGGTTAGTTTAGAAAATCAACTTACATATATTTATCAATTTGAGTTAATTATTTTGAAAAATAATTTAGTTTTTAAAGTATGGATTTTTATATGTAACTACTTAAAATATTCAAAGAGAACTCAGAAATTAATTATGAGGAATTGAAAATGAAACAGGCACCTTACCTCTTAAGTGATTAAGATCACAGATAATACTAATGATCAAACTAAGCTTTTGTTACTTCTGATGACGGGGGTATTGGACTGTGACGTAAACTGTCATGCTTACGTTTATTTGGTTTTCCTTGATGAATAATGATTAATGAAGGTGTTATTTCATTGTCATCTTATTGCACATACAGTTCGCTTTAGGAAGTGAATGAAATTAATAGTCATGTTACCTGGCCCCACGCATATTTCCAAAAAAAATGTAATTTCGAAAATCTACTACCAACCTATGATAATGGAAATGAGTTGAATTTTAAAATGTTTACCTATATTTCATTGATAAATGAAACAATCAAATTTCTTATAGTTTTTTTTTTTTTTTTTTATAAATCCTGGTGTAGAAATGCATGCAAACCTTCTTGTCAATGAATTAGTCATTTCTAATGATATATTGCTAAATGTATATTTGTATGTTTATACATTAGCCTGAAAAGTGACATGTTTAAATACAGGATTGTTATCAAATTAAATGTATGAATATGTGGAAACTGCAAGATATCACCTGTACTTATAATTGAAACTTAAATCAGTTGATTCTTTTTCTGTTGTTTAGATTTTCAGGATGACATTGGGCAACATATAATTGTATTAAAGGAGTTTCTGGCTAGTCTGGAGGACACAGTGGATGGCAGTGGGTCAGGTAGGTCACCTAGGTCATAGGTCAAGTTCACTTATTATTTCTTAAACAATACTGGTACACATACTTAATCAATTTATACACTCTTTGATTTCTGTTCAGCTATCTAAAGGTCCTTGGAAAAATTCAGTACATAATTATTTCCCACTGGCAAATTTTGATTGATTTTCTTTTTACTAATATTAGCTTACCAGAGCCAGGATGCATAAGTGAATTTTTCAAATAAAAATTTGTTCTTAACTTCATATAAGGTCTTAAATGACTACTTCCCAAGGCATAATTCATCCCCCAATGTCACCCTTAAGTAGAAAGCTATGGTTAAGGGAGTTATAATTGTTCAATTGAAGGGCTGTGAAGTTCATTAAGTAAGAAAAAAATAATCAGCAGCAGGGATAGACATTAATTTTCGGGCAAGTGATCTCAAACTTTGACTTGTCCGAATGCAAAACTTGGTTGCCCAAAATTAGGAAAGAATTTAAGAAGAAAATTATTAATTACTGTAAAGTTATGATAAGAAAAAAGTGACCAAATACACTACTGTCAATTTGGAAAGTTGAGCTACTTGAAAAAATTTTGATGCTGCATTTGTACATAAATGTTTACCACTGTCCTTGTAAATTTAACCTGTTAACACACACTGCCATGCAGCAACAACCCTCCATTTCCATTTAATAAAATTCAAATTTTTAAAAATTATTTTTGATGGGATCCTTCTGTGAGTTGTTAAAAAGTCTTTCTTAGGGGCCACTGGGTCAGAAAAAGTGAAACTTATATGGAAGCTTCCTGAGATGGTGTAGATTCTAATTTGTTCAAATCATGTCTCCCCAGGTATGACCACAATAGTTAATCAAAGTTTTACATTAAAAGATATGAGGAAAAATCTTTAAAAATCTTCTCAAGAAGCTTTAGACCAGAAAAGGTGAAACTCAGGTAGTGTATATTCAATTTAGCTCCATTTTGTCAAATTCAAATATTGAACCATATAAAGTAAGTCTTTAGACAGTTAAAACAGGATTTAGCAATTTTTGCTGGTTGTCTTTATAGGGTTCAGATTAGACTGCTACATTGTATAGTGTCCAAAAAAGACAAATCTTCTAAGGAACAATTATAGAACAATTAAACAATATATTTGGCAACTAAATGAATAAATTTCATGTAACTTAAGTGAGTATTTTGGCCCATGGGCCTTTTGTACAGCAAATCTGATATACTGGTATCTTAACAGCTGATTGTGACATTGATGTAGCTATAATTATCAAAGTATAAGTTTGATTTTAAAATCCATCTTCTTCCCTTATACTTCGCTGACAAGTTTGAGAAATCAATTTTGATAAAGTGGAAAACATTCCTTAGAACAATTAATCTCTCGTTAGCATAACATGTTTCTGTTGGTAACAAAAACAATATTGTTTTGGAAGAATTGCAAAATATCAGTCGGTGTAATATATGAAATGTTTCTGATTTGTCACTGGTCTCAGTGCACTGTTTTCCCTTCAGCAAAGGGTTAAAGAACAATTGTAACAGGCTAGGGATTGAGGTTTATGATCAAAATCTCTGTGAAACTTACAACAGTAATTTTTTTTAATTTTTACTTCTAAGCAGCATTTTTATCAGTTAAAGTGGTCAATTTGGCTGGTAGCTGATTCTTAGGGAAAACAGTGTCAGTGGATGCACATTTCACATGTTCTCAAATATAACTATTACATGAGTCACTGTTATGTATATCTTATTTCTAAAACTGATGGCAGTAAAGCAGCAATATGTATGCTGTATATATATATATATTCACTGGATTTTCTAGTTGTATGTAAAGGTAAAAAAAAAAAGTCTAAATTGTGGAGGGGGATCTTAGAGGGTATGTACTATAGACAATTTATTTGTTAGCTCAAACTTTTTAAAATAGTTGACACAGTGATTACAAGCAATTTGGAATCTGGAATATCTTATTAATTAAACAATACCCAAGAACATTTATTATGCAAATTTCATATTGTTCCCTCAGGGTTGTCCCTAAGAATTGAAATAGCAGGGGACTTAAGAAAAGTAAAAGGGGGTTTGGGGTTCCTCCCCTAACATAGTGTTGAAGGGGAATACCAGAATAACTGGGGGATAGCATCATTATAGGTGGGGAAATTCCCTGGGTTTTAGGGACAACCCTGTCCACTGCTTTTGCAAAATCTAGGGGACATGAAATCTCCTTTGTCTGTCCATCTGTCTGTAAGTCTAGCTGTCACAAAAAACATTAACCTTTGTTGTAATTTTTGAAATAGAAAAATAAGGGCTTTTGTATTTCACTTGTGTATTACCTGTGACTTAATTTTTCCAAATGTACCATGATTTTTGACCCCCAAGACCTTGACATTTAACTTTTACCTAATTTTCAAAAAAAAAAGTAACTTTGGTACAAATTTTTAAATGAGAAAAGATGAACACGATAAGGTGTTCATATTTCAGATGTGCATTACCAGTGACATGACTTTTCTGAATGTACTATGGTTTTTACCATTATGACCTTAACCAGGACGTTTTTTACCTACTTTTCAAAAAAATTTAGCATAACTTTATATATATATATATATATATATATATATATATATATATATATATATATATATATATATATATATATATACTTTATAAATTCTCAAGAACAGTAAAATTATAATCTGTCAAACTAATATTTAGGCATTCCCATTCAGTGTAGCTCTATGTAATTCAAATTAGAGCCGATCTTGTCTTGTACTATATGAGGTAAATGTAAGTCAAATTAATATGTTGAAAAGTTCCTCTGGTTTTTTTTTGTTTTGTTTTGTTTTTGGTCTTTTTTAAGTCTCGACCCTGGTGCTAGGGTGGGGCTAAAATTTGTCGTATGTTTAAGGATGATTTCACCCTGGAACAAAAATATCTCTTTACAAAGAAAGGTAACTCTAGAATTGATCATAAATTTTTATAACAATATGGTATATACTGAATTGGCAAGAATTTAATCTTGATCTCCATTCTGTATTGCAAAAGTTTTGTAATTACAGAGACATTCCATTTTGGTGAGCTCAGACTTCTTTTAAATCTTATAAAAGAAAACCTCACAGCTTTTAGATATCTAAATCAGAATTGCCCTGTTATAGAGTAGATTCAAGTTCGTGCAAGGTTTAGTTCCTGACATTTAAGATTTATTAGAAACACAGTTATGTATATGGGTATTTACTTGCTTAAGTCCAACAGTTAAAACTGGTTTGTTTGATGTACTTGTACCAGATTTTTTTTTTAAAGCTAAGATTTAACGTTATCATTTCTGTAAGACATTTTTTACATTGAAAGTTTTTACAGCTGCAATAAATATTATAGCACCTGATCCCACCTCTGATGTTTTTAGAGGCCCTGTTTGCTCTGCTTCAAATTTGTATTGTTGCAATGAACTTGGAGCTTTATTTCTATTTGTTATCTTCATATTTCATCTATCTACTTGTTTAGTTATAATGAAATGTCAATAAATTTCTCAGTTTGTGGTTTTTTTTATGTTTATCAAAAAAGTTTATCTACCTACCTACCTACCTACCTTGAAAAATGTGTGCTGGAGTACTTCAAACAATCTTTGTCTTTAATGATGATGTAATGATTCTGTATTGAGGTATACCAAAATCAAATGACCAATTTCAGGTATTTTGACTGACCTTGGATTGATGTATGTGGCTGCCAAACTGGGCTTTGATTGGACCTTAGTGGTCAGTAATCTTGGTTTGAAGCAAGCAGAGATTGAGCAGATACAGATGGACAACCCTTACAAAGTGATTAACATGATCAGTATTGCATTACAAAGATGGAGGGACAGACAAGATGGGCAGTCTGACGAAGTTCTTCTTCAACAACTATTCAGTGCTTTGAAGAATTGTAATCGCATGGACTTAGTGGATGAACTACGACAAAAATACAACATACCTGGTGTGTTGCACTAGTGATAATCAGATAAATTACCTTTAGAAATCACTTATGTAGTAAAAAGGAAACTATATTTTGTGATATTGAAATTTAAGATAGATCTACATGTAGGTGGTGGTGGTATGGTATTCTGTTATACTTTATCTGTATAAATATGATGAACACATTGTTACATTGAGTCAAAATTGACTTTGAAGGAGTTTTTAATTCTTTGCAAATACCCAAGTTTAAAAACATTATTCTTTCATTTTTAGAAGACAACCCTAAAGAGGATTAAACTATGGAGAAGCTAGTTTACCAGATAAGGATACAGCACTTATAAATCTTTGAGGAACAGACTTCTTTATGAATACACGTACATTGTAATACATTGTCAGTAAAATTGGCTTACATGGAACTTGGTTTAGAAAAAAAAATATTGCAACTTCGTTCTATCAATAATCTTGGGAGAAACTGTGTACCAGAAGCCATAGTAAGAAATTCTTAATAAAGGCATGTGAAATGTATTTTCATCTCTTTACATCTGTTAATGATTTGTTTGTAGCAAACTTTGATTATAGGAATATAAAATCATCATATGAATATGCAACTGCACATTCATAATGTTTAATTAAAATTTCTTTGTACGATACATGGAGAAGTGACAATCTCTACATTAATTATAGGAACTTTTAAAAACAGTGATTTTTTTTTTTTACAGTTCCAGTGATATTTTTGAGTGATTTCCATTGTATTACAACTGTATAACAATTTTTCTGGTTGCTCTTCAGTTTAGAATTTGTCAAAGTTTTGAATATATCTACATTGTATATTATGTATTGTGAGGGCAAACTATTCCAAGTGCTTTGGAAAATATGTGCAATACTTATTTGTCTGTGTCTAAATGCTTTTTTTTTTCTTTGCTGCTTTGATTCCAGTAGGTAAATCGAGATTTTAATGGCAGCAAATAGTGTTAAAAAAACTTTGATTAAAAGCTATTCTCTGTATCCACTTAAACTCTTTTAGCATGCTTGGTCACCAATGAAACTTTGCCAATATTATAATGACACCAGAAACATATATCAAAAAAATTTGGTTGCTATGTTTCTTGGTTGCCATGAAAAATTGAGATTTTCAGCTACCTTGGATCTTTATTGAATGTTTATTAAAGACTAAGAAAATCAAACAAACCATTCTCACAAAAGCACGACACCTTCAGGGATGGGGTAATTGAAAAAAGTAATTGTAATTGAGTGTAATTAATTACATTTTTCAAAGTAATAGGAAGTAATTTGTAATTGACCATTTTTCAATTACTTGTAATTGAATATAATTAATTACATTGAAAAAATATCCTGTAATTTCAATTACTTTTCAATTACATTTCAATTACTTTACATAATGCATATTATGTGTATTTAATAGGAAAATATTTCCAACACAGTCACATTTTACAGTTATTTTAAATTTATTCAAAGAAGCCCTTCTGTTTTTCAAAATCTTAAACCTTTTTATAGCCCAATAAATGAATTTGATTTATTGGCTTATTTACAAAAATATAAGTTTGTTTTATAATTATAATGCACATAAAGAATTAATACTGTCTAGTTTATAATGTTTATCAAAAATTTTGTTCCACCTCTCATTGGTATAGACATGAAAACATTTAATTTTTTGTTGCTTGATTATGAAAAGAGGATAGAAAATGATTTAATGTGTCATTAAGACCTGCCTTGTTGCCCCTTCAACTCCCAACTGTAAATTGCTATCAAAACAAGTTACCCTCCAAAGTTTTGTATATTTTATACCATGCTTTGTTTAAGTTCAAAGATATGACCATTAGAGGGGATTTATTAAATAATATTAAGAATGCTCTACTATTTATATACTTCAGAAAAGAAATCAATATTGAATCACTATTTTAACATTTAAACAGATCTTAACATGAAATATTTATTACATAAAACAAGTATTATTTGTCAACATTTGCAATTTAAGGTGTTTAGCTTGCCTACCTGTAGCTAAATTAATTTGAGAGTATTTTATGATATATTCATAAACTCTTGAAAACTCGCTTTTAATGAAATTTCATAAAGGCAGTCAATTGATAAATGTACATGTAGGACTAGGTCTTATGTTGATGAAGCACACAAACATGACAGGCACCTGACATTATTTATTTTAAATATTCCCCCTACCTTAAATTTACATGTATATGTTTTTTAAAGTGAAACAAAAGTAATTGAAGTGTATTTAATTACATTCTTCAAAGTAATTGAGAGTAATTAATTACATTTGTAAAAATCAAGGAAATTGTAATTGCAAGTAATTGACAAAATTTTGAATGTACTTGAAAGTATTTAATTACATTTCAAAGTAATTGACCGAAACCCTGGACACCTTGATGTCATTAATGTTATAAAGAAACTATTCAAAATGAATAAGTAGGTGGTAATCATGGGTACATTTGAAATATATTTAAATGCTTAAAACTCGATGAACAACACGAAAAAATAAATTTGACCTTACATTATAAGGTATTATAATAAGGCAATATTATTCTAAAAATAATTTTCATGGTTGCCATGGTAACACAATAGCCACACAAAATTTCTAAGTTTTGGTTAATGTAGCTATTGAGGAAAGACATGGAAATTCAAGACTGGCAAATATACATTGTTAGGACTGATAACATGAGAAAAATTGGGGTTAATTGCTACATTGCAGTGTAACCATGGAAACAACTTACAAGTGGTTTAAAGTGATAATTTATTTTGCAGCTTTATGAATTGTTTCCTTTAAATCAAACATTATTTGACTCACCTTGAATTGTACTTAATTGATATAACTAAAGTTGAATATCATATACATCTACTGATAAAGTTTAATGAAGAAAATAACACTATTGCTATGGTTACCAAGGAGGAAAATGTTCAATTTGTGAACTTTATAGCAATATTAAAACCTATTTAGTAGCTTCTTGCATCCAGTTAGATATTTTGTAGTAGTCAAAAATATCAATCATAAAAGTTTTGGGAATCTACATACCAGTGTACGTATCCAAGGAAACGAAATATTTTTCCCTACAATTTCCATAGCAATGCTCTTTTTCAAAAATTTAATTTGAATTTTTGTAATGTGAGAATTAGGAGCACACCACTGCATTTAAAAATTGATCAATAGATATATAGAAATGTGCTAGATAGGATCAGATTAAAAACATAACAGAGTAAATTTTAAATTCCTCCAGCAGTATTAAAACCATAGCAATCATTGCCAACCAATATCATATTTCTTCCTTGGGATATGTTACACTGAATTTTATTAATTGGATGCTTTTCAACTACCGTAATAATTGCTTTTATTTTTGAGTGTTTTTTTTTTAAATATAAAATTTAAAGAATAAAATTATTATGTTTGAATACTTTGTTTCCGTAGTTAAGTATGTAATAGTTAATTTTCCAAATATGTTTATCTTGCATGTAAGACATCAAGCATTTTTCTTTTGGAAACGGTCATTGTCACTTGTCTGCATTGCGGCAAACGTTAACCATGGGACCCAGAATATATTCAAAAATGCCATTTTTCAAACTTTAGGACATGTTGCCATGGTTACTATGACACATAGCAACCAATTTTGATTAATTTGGATTTATGATATCAAAGACTTTTTATCATAGAGAGTGTGGAGAAATTCTTGGACTATGTGTGCCACAGCTTCCTATATAGGTAAATTGGAGAGCAGCGCTCAATATTACAGTAAGGCTCAGTCGATGAGTGATTTAAATAACTTTTGTAGTGTTGGGGTATTGTGAATGGTATTGGCAAACTGAAACATTTTATTGATTGATTGATTATTGTTGTTTTACGCCGAGTCGGCAATATTTCAGCCGTATTTCGGCGGGAGAAACATTTTATTGATGCAATATTCATAATTAATGTATATGTACATTGTAAATCAATACATTTGAGAGAATGAATTCATCTGAATGTTATTCATTTGTGATTCTTTTACAATGTTCCCAATGCATATGTAAAAAATGAACTCATTTGAATGTAATTCATTTACTAGTAGTGATATTTTTACAAGGTTGATGAGGTGTGTTTAGTTGTGAGTTAAACACTAGTATATCCACCATAGAAAGTTGATGTATAAATGGTGTTGCCATTGCTTAAATTGTTGCATATTGTGAAACTGCTTTGAAATTAACCCCAGTATTTGAGCTAAATGGGTATTTCTCATTAAAAAGAGAAAGTTATTTATCTTTTCACTCTTGATCAACAGTGTATTGTCAAGGTATTTTCATATGAAGATTTCAGATTCAGCAAATTGATAACTCTTAAGTGGTTTTCACAGAAACTATTGATAACATGTGTGAAAAAATTACATTATAGTTCATGATATTATAAAAATGGTATTACTGTATTAGTAAATAATAAATAAATTGTATGCAGTATGTTTTATTTTCAATATTTTGAACAATATTTGAATGTTGGTGTTTTATAATAATCTGTCTCCATGATCGTCCATCGGCCAGCAGTAAGTGAAGTAATGATAGCTTTGTAACATTTTATTTTTCCTGTACTTTTCAGGGAAGAGTGCTTAAAGCAGGACATCATTTTGAAGTCACTTGATGAAACGTCAGAATTATTTTTTCTGATGCTGCTGATTTATAAGAGTGATGTGCCAATTTTTAGGGCACCGAAGCAGAAAGGTTGCTTATTAATAACTTTTAGAAGCTTTAAATAAAAGTTTATAAATGTTTAATGGAGATATAAGTAAAGTTAATTTCTTAATTCTAGAGGGAAAATATTATTATTATAGTAAGAAATTATACCTCCAACTGCAAAGAATCTTTGCACTTCTGACAACAGAAATATTCTTAGAAACATAAAAAAAGTTTTACATACCATACTTTCATTGTAAAATCATCTATATATGTAGATTATTCATTTTAAGATGTTTCAAAGAATATTTCTGTTTCTTTTCCAAAGATTTTTTTGGTATGGCACGTCAAACATTCCATTTGTATAATTTTCTATTACTTTTCTAATGTATTTGTATGGATAATTAAAGAATACAAATAGAATGGACAATTAAAAAAGTATTATATGATGCAAATAAAAAAAACCCAAAAAGGACGATTACAGAATAAAAATAAATATAAAAATTATATAAACAATGCAATACGAAATGAAATATACAATACAGATGTACAATTATAGAATACAAAAACAGAGAAGATCGAATATTGCAACGTTTGACATGCCTTAGTCGTCGCAGTTACTTAGATGTGTGAACGTATACAATTCTAAAATTGTCGCCCGCGTGGCACAATGTTTAGAGCGTTCGAATTCGCTCGAGAGTCGCAGAGTAAGGAGCTGATCCTTACGTTGCGGCTTCGAATCCCACTGTGGGAAGTGGAGACCGGTCCTTCGGATGAGACTGTATAAACCGAGGTCCCATGTCGCAGTAGGTGCTAGCACGAAAAAGATCCCTCACTGCTCAATGGCCCTGAGTGCCGAGTATAGGTCAAAATTTGCAGCTCTCCACTGGCAAGTGGTGGCGTCTCCGTATGAGTGAAAAATTCTCGAGAGGGACGTTAAAGAATAGACAAACAAACGTTAAAGAATAGACAAACAAACAAAACAATTGTAAAATTCATAAGCAGTGCCTCACAATTGAAATGTATATGTACAAGGATGAGGGAAGTAC